GGGACAACAAGCTGCAACCACCCGTGGTCAAAGGTGGCACCCTGGAAGCACTTGTTGAGCAGCTCACCCGGCATGACAAGCTGGACTCGAACTTTAACAATACGTTCCTTCTTACGTACAGGTCGTTTACCACTGCCCAGGATCTCTTCAAGCTGCTCGTCAACCGTTTCGGCATTCAGCCTCCCGAGGGCCTCTCGCAATCTGACTTCGAAGCATGGCGGGACAGGAAACAGAAACTCATTCGCTTCCGTGTTGTGAATATCTTGAAGAGTTGGTTTGACAACTTTTGGATGGAAGACCACAACGAGGAATCGAAGCAGCTCATCCGAGATGTCTATACTTTTGCCAGAGATACGGTCAAATCAACCGAGACACCTGGGTCAGGGCCTCTCATGACCGTTTTGGATCAACGTCTCAGCGGTAAGGAGGCTGGAGCGCGACGCATGGTTCAGACGTTGAATCAAAATACGCCGTCGCCTATCATGCCAAAGAACATGAAGAAGTTGAAATTCCTGGACATTGACGTCACGGAGTTTGCTCGCCAACTTACGATCATCGAATCGCGACTGTATGGCAAGATCAAGCCAACCGAATGCCTCAACAAGACGTGGCAGAAGAAGGTTGCTGAAGGAGAACCTGAGCCTGCACCAAATGTCAAGGCTCTCATCTTGCATTCAAATCAAATGACGAACTGGGTTGCGGAGATGATTTTGGCACAAATGGATGTGAAGAAGCGTGTCATCGTCATCAAGCACTTCGTTTCGGTAGCAGACGTACGTAAAGCAATCTCACGGCAATGCAAGTCTCGCACTAACAATACGCAGAAATGCCGAAGTCTCAACAACTTTTCTACGCTTACATCAATTATTTCGGCGCTTGGAACTGCGCCAATCGCGCGTCTCAAGCGGACTTGGGATCAAGTCCCGCAAAGGACTCAAGGTGTCTTGGAGACGATGAGGAAACTTATGGCCAGCACCAAGAACTTTGGCGAGTATAGAGAGGCTCTGCACGTGGCAAACCCGCCCTGCATCCCCTTTTTTGGTGCGTAATCCCAATGAAATGTGAAGTCAATACGAAGTGCTGACTCAGCCGAAAGGTGTTTATTTGACTGATCTAACCTTCATTGAGGACGGTATTCCGTCTGTCATCAAAAAGACGAACCTCATCAACTTCGCGAAGAGGGCTAAGACAGCTGAAGTTATTCGTGATATCCAGCAGTACCAGGCCGTCGGCTACTCCTTGCAACCTGTCCCCGAACTCCAGGACTACATTATCAGCAACATGCAAGCCGCTGGAGATGTACATGAGATGTACGACAAGAGTTTGCAGGTGGAGCCACGTGAGCGAGAAGACGAGAAAATCGTGAGGTACGTAGTTCTGGAAGACCAGCTCGTGTTCTTAGGCTGGACTCAGGCTGGGATGAGAACGCAAGCCTTGTCCGATACACCACTCTTGTTCTTCGTTCCATGGCATGCTGCGTGGTCACTTTCTCTCGCTGACCCAAGCCCCTTCAACCTCCACTCCTGCCGTCCGATCTCGCCTGCTCGCATCTAGAATATATGCTTATACTATTAAAATCACAGGGTACTTGCCGAGTCAGGCTTCCTATGAAAGCCGTTTGTTGGGACGAGGTCGCCGCATCGCGCCTCCGCTACATGCACCACTACGACTGGTCGTCCATAGCCCCAATTCGATGCCGCTCATTCAACCGGTGTGCGGCAGCATGCACTGATCATCTCTGCAGCCAAGTTGTGCCAGCGACCGGCCCCTTATGGGTCCGTCTCTGCGCCAGACCATGGATTCATTGATGACTCCGGCCATCTTTAACTTGCGGGTATAGATTTAGCTCTACTCAGCTTTGGAGCACGCATGGTTGAGGACAGGGGAGCAGCGTTTCCAGGCAAACTTGGATCCGCCGATTCGAGCAAGTCGCGACTCCAGCGGACGAAAGAAAGGACGCCCCTACGAGCGTCGCGGACCATTGGAGGCAGCGGCGGGTGTTCTCTAAAACGCGAACGTGGGCATAGCATGGCCCAGAGGCGAGTTGTAATATTGACAGCCACGACCACGAAAGGGGAGGGCCGGGGTGCGTGGGTATACTCACACCTACCTCGGTCGTCAGCCGGGAGGCAAGGGACGGATGAGCTATGGATGAAAAGATGAGTGAATGAATCTTGGTGTATGATATTCTGGGATAAAATCATGATGAATGCTTCTTCTTTTTTTTTTCGAGCAGCTGGTCATGATCGTGGCCTGTGTTTACTCCCCGAGTCTAGGAAGAAGTGGGAGGGCTTCACCGTTTACGTCGAGCGCGCGTTGCTTGGTTCAAAATTCCCGATTCCAATTTCTCATGGGCGTACTTTTGTCACGGTTTTGTGCATTCGCATGTACAGATCAAAGTTCCACTGAAAGAACTGACCGGAGTGTGGTGCAACCTATACCGATCATTTGATACCATTGACGGCATGGCGAAGACTGACAGCGACGGGTATACCCTTCCAATGCGCCGAGTTACTTGGGGGTGAGTATATGGCAAGATTTTTGTAACAGAATGATGATGCTTTCCTAGCTATGTATTATCACATAGCACTTGCTGTAACTGGGGTAGAAATCATAAATAGGAAGCAGTGCAACAGGACAATGATGACCAAGTGCAGCGAACACTCTCGCCGCCACTCACCAAACAATGTAATCATTCAAGCGTCCGAACCATGCCATATAAATGATACTGGCCTTACTTCGCGGATAATCATTAAGAATGACTGTCATACAATCCGACCGTATGCTGGCCTAGTGTTGGTTACGTAGAAACATTGCAATTGCAACATGTACAGCTCCGAAAGAGACATTTGATACCGATTTGGTTGGGGTTAGTGGCGGTGCAGCTTGGCCTTAATCTTATCTCCAAGGCTCTTCTTTTCCTTTTCTGTGTTATCGCCGGGCCTGTGAGTTCGCTCTTCGCTACTGCTGGTCTTGTCGTGTTGACCCGGCTTGGCGGCGGCAGCCTTTGCGGCGGCAGCAGCAGGGTCTTTCTCGTCCATCAGGCCTAGTTAATTGTGTAAGCACAGAGATTTTACACCGGTTCAGGTGCCTTGTACTTACGATCCGCCTCCCGGCCAGCCCCAGGCTTGGTTGCGTCAAAGTCACCACCATCAGCGGCTAGACCGGTACTCTTCACATATTTCTCTCCAGTACCTTCGCCATGACTCTTCTTCTGGGGACCATCCTCCTCATCATCATCCGCTGCTGCGTCGCCGGCAAAACCACCATCGCCCGGTACGCCCTCCACTCCACCGGCATCGCCTCCACGTTCTTTGGCCACCGCCTCCAACGGCTTCGGGCCAGGTCCGTCGAGCTTGTCGCCCTCATTTGCGGGGCCTGTCCCTGAAGTACTGACATCTTGACCCTTGGGTTTCGGGTCGGTAGCTGGGTCAGTCGGGGACCTTGTGTCAGTTTTACCGGCGGCACTTTCATGCGGAGCTGCATCATCTGCGGAGTGTTCTTTCAGTTCAGGTTTGCCGATTTGATCTTTATGTTTGACGGTGTCTTCGGTCGTGGCAGATGTCTCTTTGGACACGGCAGCGGCGGTTGTCGACGTAACCTTTTCAGGCGCCGTGCGAGCGTCGTCCGCAATGTTGGCTTTTTTGGAGGGATTCTCTAGCGCTCGTGTCAGGATAAGCAATTCCAAGTGTGCCGTGCCTCTTCTTCTTCATACCGATGTTGCCGGCGTCATAAGGTTCGCCATTGCTGGTATTTCCGGATACGCCAGAGACAGGCTCTTCCTTAGCCTCATTTGTTCCCCATATGGCCTTGGTTGCAGCGCTCGCCATGGTATTGATGGCTTCCATTGTGACTGTCCTATGTCGGCGTTTGTGGAATGCCGCAGATTTTCCCGAGTCTCACGGATGTGAATACTGCCTGTGTGTTTTCGAATTCGGGGTGCGATGTGCTGGTGGCTCAATGAATTCGTGTTGGTAGATGCTGTCAGGAGGGAAGAAAGTTGGCGGGGTGAGGATGTCATATGGCTTCTTATACATGCATCTTCGGCCAAGTCTGACGTCTTCAGGTCCTGCAGGTTCCTTGTCTACGTTTGCTACCTTCGTCGATGAGCGTACCTTGCTTAACTTGGTCAGCGGGGGGGGGCTCATCAAGCGTTGGGTAGGGCAGGTCCGGCACAAGTCCCTTCTGGTGCGGCTACGGTAGCGTGCTATGCAGGCTTTTGATGCAACGGCTGTTGCGGCTCGGGCAAGGACGATATATCTTGGCCTAGGTCGTCTAGAGTGTACCTCAGCTACAGCAGCAGAAGAGGCGCATCGGGAGTCGGCTGTGCCGCCTCCTTGCCCGATATTTGGCACCATCTGTGTAAGTGAGGTACATAGTACACGAGCAGCGGTGGGCACATCATGGCTAGTGTAGCAGCCACGTCCGGTCGTCGTCTAGATGCTCTTCAGTCGAATCCTGGCCTCGGATTCGTCGTCACGGCAGCAGAGGGGCGAGCCTAAAGCAAGGCAGTGTGGGTTTGGAAGGGGAAGGGTTGACGGGATAGGCCGGGGGCAAAAGCAAGCAGGCCGTGTTGCGATTGTTTTGTCATCTGGGAGCAGCGCTCGAAGCAAGTCACGTCAAGGCTGGCGCAAACGGATGAAGTGCAGTGGCTCCCGATGTGGAAGGGGGATGAAGGCCTGGCCAACGAGCGGACAGGCATTGGAGTGGTAGTTCGTCATCCTGCGCGCTTGTCCATCATCCCGCCAAGATAGCCCTGCGTCTTGACGGAGGGATGAGGGGCACAGGTGGGATCGGTCGATCGTTGGCTGGGAAAGTGGGACAGTCTGGGGGAATTTGAAGAGCTATGACGTTGGGCGGCACACGTGCTACATGGGATGAAGGAAGCAGCATCCCAGCGTGGTGGTGAGCTCAGGGAGAATCTGATGTGAACAAGATAGCGCACCGATTACGTCATGGGTCGGGTGAGTAGATTACCTTGGGTAATGTACACGGCAGGTATGCAGTACCACCGCAGTATTTGGTACCAGCTCGAGACAGCAGGAAGCTTGGGAACATGGACCTTCGACGACCTACCTAGTTGTGCATTTGTTGCGTCTTTGCTTTCGGTGCCTACCAGCAGAAGCCAAGAAGGGCACCATGTTTGTCCCGCTCCCGAAGCTTGGCTGCCGCCAAATAAGGGTCTTCTTCATGGAGACTCACGTTACCGCTTTCACAAGCGCCATGGGCCATAGCTGTGTTTTCATGCCACGCCCTTAGCCCAAGCAGCCTTGCGTGCTTAGAGCTGCAGCCAAGGCGGGACGGTGAAGGTGGAAAGCCAGGTCGAAGATCCCCCGGGTATCCAACGTCCCATTTCGTCACGTGCGGAACCTTCGGCGTTGAATCCGGCCGGATGCCCAGCGTTCTGGTGGAGTAGGTAGGCACCGAGTCGGAGTTGCCTGCCGTGAAGCAGTTGGTCGGTCGGTGTGAATGGCGTGGTTACGCCTTTGACAAAAACATGCGATGTGCCATTCCTCCAGGTCTTCCCCATCACGTGAATTGGATCGACTACTTGCCCGTACACTGTTTGAAGGCGACATGAAGTGGACCTTCCAGCGTTCTGGAATGTCCCTTGTGCGTTGGTCCACGTACTCGTCTGGCCTAACCCAAACAACGTGCGGATGCGTCAGCCGCGCGGTATATCATGCCGCCATGCTGACACCAACTCGTTGTGCACGTTTGGATGGCCGTAGCCGACGGGTATGGGCTGGGTTAATCAAGTTCCTGCACCCGTTATCGCGACAGGTCTAATCTCGCGTGGACCTGTACTGAATCTCCGGTACATATTCCAGCATTCTCCCGCCACACAGCTCTCCGGTGTGCATCGAGATATGGTCCTTCTATTTGCCTCATATCGAATTTTCCTGCTAGTCGGGGCGGCTGTGCCAATCAATGGCCAAGTAGCACCGTCCTCTGGAGGTCCGGATGAAGACCAGCACGTTATTACTTCTCACCAGGGCACGTGTTGAAATTCATTTGCCACGAGATATGTCCTTAACTGACCTTGAAGCCTCGCAGACTCCTTGTCGGGCACAACCCAGGTTGTTCCCCTCGTGAATCGTCCTGTATCACCCGGCACAGCCGGCCTCGTTGCGTTTGGGGACTCCTACAGCGCGGGAATCGGGACAGGCGTACATGGCAAGGAGACTGATTGTAGACTCGGAGAGCACGCACACCCTGTCTTGATCTACGCTGATCTAGCAGGAAGCCAAGGCCCCAATACGACAGCCTTCCAGTTTCTTTCCTGCACCGGTTCTACAACTGGTAACATCGTGTCGGGGGGCGAGCGCAGTCAGATCGATAGCTTCAACGCCTCGATCAATGCAGACTTTGCGCTGCTTTCTATTGGAGGCAACGATCTAGGCTTCTTCAAGGTGATGAACGCCTGTATCTTTCGCTTCTACAGCTTCTACTCCGGTACATGCGAAACGGCACTACATGAGGCGGCCGAGCAAATCGAGGGCAGCGCCTTTGAACAGCGTCTGGAGATGGTCGTCATGCAGATATTGGATAAGGTCCAGTGGGAGAAACGCCCTTGGTTCGTCATCACCGTCACCGGATACGCGCGCTTTTTCAACGCCGACACTGATGAGTGCGACAACTGCACGCTGGGTGTGTGGTCACAAGGCCCCAAACTTGATCGAGTCCGTGTCCGCAAGCGCATGAACGACCTGGTCCTCGCAGTCAACGATAAACTGAGGAAGTCCATAGACAACGTCAACTCCAGGTTCACGGTGCCCAAGGTGGTTTTTGTTGATTATGATGCCAGATTCGATGGCCATCGCTTCTGCGAGCCCAATGTGACGGAGCCAGCTTACAACCGGACCGAGACGTGGTTCTTCTTGGTGGGTGGGAAGGACAACGATCCGAACGTGACGGACCCCACCCCGGCTCCGAATGCCACCATCGCTGGCGCCGGTTCCGACTGCGCGTCCGCAAGGACGTTGTCATCCCCATCTCCTTTTGTAGACCCAGATACCTGTCTGGGCCCTGCCGAAAGTTCCGGAGATTGGGGTTTGCTTGCCATCTGCTACATGGCCAGGGCACAACAAGAAGATCCATCGCTACGATTTGCCCGCGACGATGTCATATCGCAAAACTCCATGTGGTATGTTCCTACATATTACGGCAAGACTTTCCATCCGTGAGTGATCTTTCTTGATGGTACATGCTGTCTCTGGCTTCCGATACTATGTACTGACGAGAACAAGGAGAAGCTTGGGTCACGAGGCGATCAAGGATGAGATATACCGCGTGTGGGCTGAGCTAGGTTTTGTGTACGGATAGACGCCGCGGACAGCATACGTAAGCGCATCGCAGCAGCTGTGATATACATTCGTCGCAAGCTATTCAAGGTGGCAAAACGTCGTAGTATGGGCCTGCTAAATCGCAGGTTGTGCTAGAAGGAGCTCATTCACGATTGACAGTGATTCCTTCATGTAAGAGTCGTCGGACGTTGCCGCTCGCAGAACCTGGTTGTGGAACGACGTCGAACTGAGTGTGCTCGATTTCTGGGCATCAGTCGGAGAGACTCAGGTATCTGGATGCAGATTGCGCCGAAACTCCGTTCCTCACATGTCGACGGCAGCTCGGAGGACATGGCTGCAGGGGAAGGTGGTACCGCGGTCTCCTTGGGGATGCTGGTGCATAGGTTCGCCGGGGGTGTTCTTTGCTTGGCCCGGAGAAACTCTCGGCGAACGTCAAATAGAAAAGCTTTTCGATCATCGATGTCCTAGGTGCGCCCTCAATTGCTGCCACAGGTACTGCTTCTGGTAGGATCGGACGAAGCCTTGATATTGCCAATGAAGGAGGAATTTCGAAAGAAACTTGTTCGCCGGAAGTGGTGCATTGGAGATATTCGTCAAGTGCAGATTGCAAACGAGAACGAGGGCGTACCGTATGGACAGACTGACTCCTTCAAATCTCGCGTTGCCCCCCTTACGGCGGTGTCTCGTGCAGAGAAACTTCCTATTGGGCAGCCTCGGCGTCGATCTGCTCCTCCACCTCCGCTTCTTTGGGCCTGGGAGGGGGGAATAGGGTTTGTCGAGTTGTCACCTCTGGGCTGCTGCTGCTCGCCACGTCGGCTCCGGACATCGGATATAAGTGCTACAATACGTAGCTGGCTATGCAGATGGGACGAAATAGAGAGTCTGAGTTGCACCGGAGGCCTGGTGGTCGATTGGGGTTCGGGCAATTGATTGCAGGTCAGTACTAAGCGGGATTGCAACGGAAGGGGGAAGGACAGAATGAAATAATGGTAAATTACGGCAAACTCCATTGCCCATGTTGTTCCCGTGCCTTTCGGTTGATGAGGGTGGGTTGAGCCAGAGTCAGTCAAGGTTGTAGAGGTCGGCAGTCATGACAAGACATAGGCAGCTAATTAACCCACTTGGCAACACATAATACTGCATAGTACGGGCCTATGGAGTGTGGACGGACTATGTATCCGTACTGCGTACATATTAACGAGGCAGGGTACGATAACCGTTGGCCAGGATCGGGATGGCAGGGTGGTTCGTTTCGTTTGCTTCGGAGCAACGGACAGTGTCCCGGTGCCTGGAACATGGAACAAGAGCCCCTCTCCCCAGTATCGAGGCCCACAGACCCAGCGATGCCGTCCAACAATGCAGTCAGGACTCAGACCAGGGGAGAAGAGCATAGAGTAGTGTACTGTGACATTTCACGTTCTGGCAATTTCCAAGGTCCTGCGTATTTGGACATGCCACCACACCACTGGCAGGACGGTACAGTGTGTATGTTTGTATGTACTTCCTGTGCCTTGTCCGTATTGTGCGTGCATGCTTGCATCTGCATGATGCACTCTGCAGGCAGCCCGATCGACACACCTCTCATCAGTCTCCTGAACTCTTAACTCAGCACGCACTATTCGTACGCAGTAAGTACGCCGTATGCGTGCCGTAGCAGGACCACCTCCACTCTGGCCACGGTGCGGCGCGGTGCGATGCGATGCGATGCGATGCGATGTCGCTGTGCCTATCGCCTTGCCGTACCTGGGTTGTGTGGCCGGTGCACGTTGAGGAGGCTGCCCGGGCAGCAGTCGGGGATTAGTTACGTGTCCTAGGTGGGATCGCGGGTTCATAGATGCGGCAGGATGGGAATCAGGGCCAACGTCTCGTCTTTACTCGAGAGTCTTCAGGGAGAGTTTTCCTACGAAGAGCGCGATATGCCCAGCCACTCTGAGCTGCCATCCGCCACAGTTTCATTTGTAATGCAGCAGATCGTGGTGGACGTGATTGGGTGCGCGTTGGGCACGGCGCTAGGAACTTGCCGTGTTCTTGCAGGGCATTGCCTGCTTGCGACGACGCGGGCTTGGCCCTTGTGAATGGAAAAAGGGCTGTGGACATGTGTCGGTGTCTACTCTATATTTAGTACTATTTGTCCTGTTTGTCTAGGACTCCATGTAATAGGTATACGTGCTTATTATACCAGTGCAGCGGGCCTTGGTGCTTGGTTGGTACTCACGCTCCGGGCTCTGTGGATAGAGGGGACCAAGTAAGGACTGGGATATGGATGCTTCAAGGTTGGATCCTGCCCACGTTGAGCATGTTTGGGACGCAAGCATGTGTCTTCATGGCGGACTAGGAGCCCGGGTCCGAGGGCTGCGCGGAGATGGAGATACCCAATGAGAGAGGGGCGAAAGGTGGTCTAGAAGTGCGTGTAGTACGTCGGTATGCTTGATGTCTTCCACGCATGCCCTGTCAGTCTCCGAGTCCGAATTGAAGAGATGCGCAGTAAAGTACGCCGTCACAGATACGACTGCAGCGACTGGGGTGGGCCAGAGTTTCTGTACATGTTGATGTAAATACGTCAACCATCTCTGAGATGAAACTCTCTGGTAGGTAGGGCTCGGTCAACCTTACCTAAGCGTGCTTGCCCTCCTTGTATGAGGCGGGATTCATTGACGGATCCCGCTGGGAGGTGAGGCACCCTACCTAGGTACCTGGGTTGTACGTGCCTTGGGACGCCCTGTGCCCTTGCTCAACTCAATGCCGGAGCTTTCCCCAAGTCCGAGCTGCAGCCACACACACACACACACACACACACTGACACACTGACACTGGACCTACCTAGGACGACCTCATGCCGCTATCTACCTAACAGTCGTGCGCCCCCCAAGTAGGCGAGTTGTACCTTCACCGTCGGGTGTCTCGAGTATCAACGGCTCTTGGGCAATTCTCTGACGTCTGCATCGCCAACTTCAACTGCTTGGGGGCACATCCCTCCTCGGGAGCTGCATTCCTTCACACCAAAAATTACCTCAGGTAGTCAACCTGTGCCTAATTAGCAGCCATCCTGTCTTGCATAGCACTGCCCTCCTGCCTTTCCCTCAGAGACAACATATCCAAACCCCAGAGTCTTTCCTTTCCGTCGAGTCTAGACATCTCCCGCCCGTGTCTTGCAGCCCTTGACGATGAGCTGCTTTGTTCCCCCTCCCCTCCCTGGTCCTAGTGTCATTTGGATCCGCGACGGGAGCCTCCACGCCCGCGCCCACCCCCCCCCCCCCCCCCCCCCCCCGCCCCTCTTCATGCTCATCCTGCTGGTCCCCTCTCGTGCGCCCGTCCCTTTGCTTTTTAGGACTTGGGACTTGGGATTGGAGCCCCGCGCAGAGTGCAGTGCGGCTTGGAACTCTGGGACAGCTCCTAAACCTGGACTTGGCTGACAATCCTCTCCGCACCATCACCCAGCAGCTAATTACAACACTGTTCGCACCGAACCGTACCATACCCTACCTTGCCTTGCCTTGCCTTGCCTTCCGCAGACTAAACTTTCTCTCTTAACCTTGCCTTGTGTGTCATTCTCTGTCTCCTAATAGGGAACTGCTGCGGATACATCTTTTTCTCCCACCTCTCGTCACTACTCACCTCGACCTCGTCACACGCAACTCGACCGCTGGACTCGATCGAGACACTCATCCGCCGGCCTCGTTGCCGCCGTCTCTCGTTCCCGCCCGAATTGCCATCGTCGCGGAGTCTATTGCTCGACATCAGGGTGGCATAGTGCTGCCTTTCTCTCCGCGTGATGGGCCAGTCGTCCTAGCCCGCTCCAGTTCGTACCGAATCACCATCCACGCCGCCATCAGCATCAGACTCTCTAGGAACTGATATTGACGTCCGTGGCCTGCAAAGCCTCTCCGCCGCAAGAATGGTATACTGCGGCAAGGCCTCTCAAGGTTGCCAAAACTGTCGGACTCGCCGTATCAAGGTCAGCCGCGTCGCCCCGTCCCACCCTCGGCACGTTCACCATCTCTAAGCCTACTGCCGCCCCCCTCTTCTAGACGTTGAGAATAGATGAGCGCTTCATACAGGCAGGTGCAAGCTGTATCGTGACTGACAAGAACCCCTTTCAGTGCGATAAAGTGAAGCCCGAATGCTCACAATGTATTCGTGTGGGCAAGAAATGCCCTGGCTACCGAGATCAGCTCTCTCTCATGTTTAGAGACGAGTCAAAAAAGGTGATCAAGAAAGCTCACGCGCAGTGGGGTGTCCCCGAGGGCTCCGAAAACGAGAACGGATCTGCCATATTGTCCATGTCGACTGCTCCGACTCCGCCATCGTCGTCTCCAGCTTACAGCCGAAAGAGCTCACCGACTAGCGGCGGAAATGCATCACGGTCAGGAAAGGCTTCAGCCTCACCAGTTTCCGCCTCCGTCTCCCCATCTTCGAGACACCACTCTCCGGGCTCGGTGTCTCCGATGGTGTTACCGATTGTCAAACAAGAACCAGTCCGGGAGACGAGTCCTTTGACTATTCGCGTTGGTCCTACCCTGGAGGAACAAGGCCTGCAATTTTACGTCAATCGATACCTCGTAGGACATCCAGATGAAGTCAAATCGGCCTCAGATCTTGCCTCAGAACCTTGGGTATGGCACCCAGCGTTGCAAGATGTTATGTGCGCCGTGGGGCTTGCCGGGCTGCACAATCTGACGGGAAACATTGAAATGATGTCGATGGCACGGGAGAAGTATGGGTCTGCACTACGTCAGACAGGAAAGCTGATACGTCCGCCGCATACCCCAAGTATTGACGTAACTATGAGGGCCGTCGTGGCACTAGCGATGTTCGAGGTAGGTTGCTGGTGCTCTGAAGAGCGTCTGCGAGACAATGCTTGAGGAACCGCAAATACTGACGGTTAAAAAGGTTGTCAAAGGAACCCACCATTCGACAGGCACTGTTCATGCCCATGTCATGGGTGGTGCTGCATTGATGAGGAGTTGGTGCCCGATGCCTAGCGTGCCCTTTGGTGGATTTAGAGCCCTACTGCAGTTGTGTTACTCGATGGTAATTCCTTCACCCCACACTCTACGCTGAGGTATGCTAATTTCGTAGTTTATTCCTCTTCACGTAGCGGGGATGCCGATGCCTCCGGACTTCTACGACTGGGTTTCTTACGGATCGCAACTACAGATGCCTTTTGATCTTCCTTCCACCGATCTTGCAGTCCTGATCGCCCGCTTTGTAGAAATATCTTCTTTCATCAACAATCACGTTGTTAGCGACGGCAAACCCAAGACGGCCAATGTCATCCAGCAACTCCTAGAATTGGACGCTGACCTTTCGGCTTGGGAGGCGGGGCTGAAGGGGGAATGGGAATATCGTGTCGTCCACGCGACCCATTTGCCACCGAAGGCAGTCTTCCAGGGTGAATACCACAAGTACCATGATGTCTGGACTGCTCGCATATGGAACTACTACCGATGGGCCCGAATACTGGTCAACCAGACCCTACTCGACTTGGCAAATCAGAATCCTGCATCAAGTTTGTCCTTACTGTCAGCAGCTGCGCGCGACAAGCTCCTCAAGCTCATACGAAAGCTTGCGAAGGACACCTTAGTCAGCGCTCCAACACATTGGCGACACCCCGTTTTAGACGAGACGGCGCAGGTAACCGTGGAGAGTCCGGGAGGAGGGGGGGCTGGATCAGCAGGACTGCCGGCTTTACTGTTTCACTTGAAAGTGGCAGGCTGCGCTCCTGGGGTCCCAAAAGAATATTGGGAATGGTCGCTGGCTGTTATTCAGACGATATGGAGTGACATGGGCATGCTACATGCACGATCGATGATGGAGGCCATGCGAGCCCACGAAGACACGGTGCACAGGACCGGGGCAGCAGGCATTCTCGCAGACGACTGGTGATGAGTCCAAAGACGGTTTCACGATTGGCGTACAGGGTATTTTTTATGATCTGCGAAACTGCGAGGGCTGAAAAGACTATCTGTGCTGCATTGGGATCTGGACTTAAGGTTAGGTGATACCATCATTTTGGGAGCATCAGACACTTGGATGTGTTGGAGCATCCGAGAAAGGGCTTTTCTTTACTGGCAAAACCCGGATACGATACATTGGTTATATGAATCGGATTCGAATGAATTAAGAGACGAATGGTACGGAAAATCCGCTGTTTCCTGGTGAAAGGCTATTCGAATTCTTGAGTGCTGTTGGGTTATCTCGCTCCCGACGGGCCGAGCAACTAGGCGGCGTGACTTTTGATATCGAGACAGTGCGAACGGCATTTGTCCGATGATATTGGCACGGACATCAGAGTCCAACAACCTATGGGAGCTTCCACTGCGGAGACCTGCAGCCGCAACGCGTGACCCTGCCTACCGTCCACCAGGGTCAGCCAAGGCATCAATCAACGACAGTTGACCACTACCATCATCCGCACATCTATGCAATCCAACACCATTTCTCAGCGAACGACACCGGCGCATCCAATGAAACCTCGGTGTTCTGGCGCATACTGGCTGCCATGAAGTAACGCTTCTGGCCGAGTTTATCATCGCCGGACTCCGAAGACACCCTCGCGCGTCATCGAGGCCGCCCAACCCAGCCCGTCGCATCGCATCGCATCGCCACCTCCATCGGCAAAAGCTACTCCATCGCCCATAGCGCACTAACCTAGCCTCTTTCCTGCATCAGAAAAGCAGTAATCATGGCGACTGTATCCGAATCGAAAAAGAGTAAAGAGCCTTATGTGTTACGCCCGTAGTGCGAAGACGTACTAATCCAAGCCTCGTATTCAGATGATGAGCAAACGATCAAGGTTGCCTCCAAAAAGGACACCAAGAACCAATCCAACGGACCTATCAAGCTGAAGAAGCCCGCGCCGAAGTACAGCAAACCCGGAAATTGGAGGGAAGGGAGCGTCATCGACGGTAAGATGAGTTTATCGCCACCACAAAACCTGTCAGGCAACCAAGCTCATGCGGATGACTTCTAGATGACAAAAAGTCCAAGAACTCCGAGTCAGCATCAATCTCCGTAGCCTCGCCAGGCCCGGTAGTCAACCCCCTTGACGACAACGCGCGTGAAGCGTTTGCGACCGGTCGACCCCTCGAGGACAGCCCTGATCTGCAACAATGCAAACATTGCAAGAAGAGCATTCTCAAGACAGCCGCAAAGGCACACATTGCGCAGTGTCTAAGGTTGAAGAAAGAGAAGGCTCAGAGGAAGAAGGAGGCGAGAGAAGCCCGCGAGCGAGCCAAAGAGGCCGCGAGAGAGGAGGAAGCCAGAAAGGCTGACGAGGATGGTGACGGCAAGGGTGAAGACGACAGCGACGGCGATGACGATGGCGCTGAAAAAAAGGCAACCGGGAACAAGACCGCCAAAAAGGCCGCAGGCAAGAAGACAGATGGAGAGGCGGGCAAAGGGAAAAAGCGCAAAGCGGATGGCGATGCGGATAAGGGGCCAAAACAGAAAAAGAAAAAAGAGGAACCGAAACCCAAAGCCCCCAAGCCGAAAGGTATGAATTGCCCACATATCAGCCACATGCAGGCAGGCATACTTACCTTTCAAAGGACCTGTTGATGTTGAGCGGCAGTGTGGTGTTCTGCTGCCAAATGGTCAGCCATGCGCGAGATCACTGACCTGCAAGAGCCATAGCATGGGCGCGAAACGTGCAGTGGCGGGACGATCTTTACCATACGACATGCTACTTGCTGCATATCAGAAGAAGAACCAGGCAAAGCAACAGAGTAAGTCTACCCAGCGGGCCCTACATCCAACTGACGATTTGCTTACTTTTTATCTAATCTGTAGAGGCTGCGCTCGATGCCAACGCGCCGCTCGAGGACGAGGACGAAGCCAATGCGGGACCTGTGGACTCCGACGAGGAAACAGCCGCCGTCATGAGCGCGCTGGCGCACTGGAACCCGCAGCCCGTGGTACCACAACCAGTGTTAAACCCAATCAAGAGACAATACCAGCTCGCACGTCTTCACGAGCAGCTGCAAATGGCCACAAACGGTGGCCGAACCAATATTTTCAAGGTTGTAGGTTTAGGTGCCCAAAAACTGCCTGATGGCCCCTCAGGGTTAGTTGATGGAGAAGACGCTCCAGGAGAGCCGGATACTTCTGTCGCCAATTTTGGCGCTTCTCGAAGATCGTCAAGTTTCAGCATGCAGGGGCAGCCACAGCGTAGGCAGTCGGTAACAAGCAGAGCTTGAAACCAGGTAAACGGGCGCCCCGGCTTGGGGTGACTATGTCGGATAATTTGGCATCTGCAAGATGCGTTACTGGCTTCGCGGCTTGGGAACTGGCTCAGGAACTCGTGCATTTCATGAAAGGGAAGGGAGGCGTCTGGGTTTCGCGGTATACCAATTCTCTAGGACTGGAACTTTGGGCTGTTTGGCAGTGGCGTTTTGGTCGTTGAACGTCTGGCTCTAGCTTTACATCAGGCATTGAGCGTGGATACTGAGTATAGGAGCTGCGTTATAGACGGGCACGCATGACCTGGTCCACCTCGAAGAACTCAGCCAAAGAGTGTCTTGAAAATTCTCTCGTGGTGACCCGAGGAACATGGATTCTTATGTGTGTTGTGACAGACGCTGGATTTGCTCATCGCCTACAAATTCGTCTTTAAACCACGTATCCTCACTGAGTCTCACTGGATTGCAGTCTATTTCACACGAAGACTTGACGGTTTTGTAGCAAAGGTGAGAGAAAACACCTACAAGTGATCGATCACATGGCAAAGTGGGCCTCTTTCCAACCACAGGATTACACACATGTGAGTGCCGTCAACAGCGACCGCGCTAATGACGTCGTTAAGCTACCCCGGATTTGCGCTAATGGGTCGACCAGCCACTTCAGCGCGACGAGACCTCGGCAATGCATGCTCCTCTTCCAAGTTGAACTCGATTACTTGAGGATAGATACGAAAACAATCTACTAGTATGTGGCTTCCAACGCTAGTTTCCACGCATTGGCTTCTTTTTAGGAAATGATTCAGAAGCACGACGCAGCATAGCATCTTTTGCAATAAGCTGAACCACGAACGCGCGATCGCTTGTGCAGGGTTCACCGAGCCTACACTCTGATCCACGACGTCGGACCCATCTTCTCACATGCTGAGTTACTCTTCAACTTGCGGATCCCGCCTTCTGCTGTCCCACGCACCACCATGCCCGCAGGCGTTCTCGAGGCCTTCGGTCATGCCCTCGCCGGTGCTACAGGAACAGCCTTCTCCACAGCGGCCGTATACCCTCTCGATCTCGTTACGACGCGCCTTAAAGTGCAGCGCCAGCTGAGACGAGAAGACTCCATATCCAAGAAGGAGCAGTACCGCGGGGTCCTCGATGCGCTCAAGACGGTTGTGACGCAGGAAGGCGTCTCGGCGCTTTACACGGGTCTTGCACAGGATATCTTCAAGTCGGTCACCGACTCCTTCTTGTTCTTCCTCTTTTACGCATACTTCAAAGACACGCTCCGTCGCGCCCGCGGAAGCAAGCTGCCGGCTATTGAGCAGCTACTTGTCGGTGCGCTGGCGGGCGCCTGCGCGAGAGCCTGTACAACACCCATTGCCAACGTCGTTACGAGAAAACAGACTTCGGCCATGATGGAAGATCAAGACGACGAGCACACTTTATCTATATGGAGAATCATGGCAGCGATTCGCGCCGAGAATGGTATTCGAGGGCTCTGGGCTGGGTATTCAGCGTCCCTTCTCCTGACCATCAACCCAAGCATAACTTTTTTCCTGAACGACAAGTTGGCCAAGACCCTCCAGCCCGATTCCGACGAGGCTTCATATAACACCCAGACGACGTTTCTCTTCGCTGCCGCTAGCAAAGCCATTGCTACCACGATCAGCTATCCACTACAGACCGCCAAGACCAGGTTACAAATAAGAGGCTCCAGGGGTCCTTCGCCCCGGAGAAGCACTGATAGCGCGGGGAGCTGTTTCGAGAAAGACCCGCAAAGTCCCGCTTCCTTCGGATCGAATGAAAATAGGCGAAGCAAGCTTGAGAGAATGGCCGAATACAGCGTTCTCGCTCTCGTCATCTCTATCGCTAGAGCCGAGGGCATTACCGCATTGTATGCGGGTCTCCCGGGCGAAGTGCTGAAGAGCTTTTTTAGCCATGGGCTAACCATGGTATCCAAGGGCATCATTCACAAACTGGTCCTCCGTTTCGGCATTTTCATAGTGATCTTCTTGCGAAGTAGGTCGCCTGCTGCGAGGTCACAAATGCAGCGTCTTCGGCAGATGGTCCTCGGGCTGCTTTGAGCGGCCACAGCACACCCTTTGCCCCCGTCCAGGGCCATCGCCGAGGCTATGGCCACATATGACAATAGAATCGGGGTTGCTCTTGATCTGATACAGCTGGCTTCTTATGATACATCGTGCTCTGCTTGCATCATGTCGATACTGTCGTCAGCTTCAAGTCTGCATCCTGTCATTACTCGCTAGCATTGAAAGGCGGCGACAGCCGTCTTCTCTACCATGTTCGCCCCGCGCGCAGAGAAGCCGGTTCCCTCAGACCTGAGTTCAATGAGCCCAGGAAATTCTTGCTTTGATTGTCTTGGCTTGCTCTTTGAGCCACTGGACGCGAGTCTTGCGTCACAGACATAGCAGGCATGCTCCTGCTCCGCAGAAATGTTGCCTTTGACCGGGACCATGAATTTGGTCGCACAGCCTCGACATATAACATGGCCACAACTCTCCGCAAGCTGTGGTCGCGAAGCGTTGCCAAGAGTCTTGAGACAGGAGGGGCAGATACGTCTCGTTCCATCCGCACCTGTGTCGGCTTCTTCTTTGAAGTTCAGCTGTATGAGGCTCTTAAGAGAGTAGGGATGTTGAGAGTCATCGGGCGACGCGGGGCAGACGGGATTGATTTTGGCTTTTTTTATGACAATTGCTGCTTTTCGGGCTGCTTCGGCATCGGGAGTTTGGGAAGGGGTCCAGAAAGACGGCAGAGACTCTTTAGAGGCCTAAGAGAATGTTAAAAAAAAAAACCCCAGCACAAGAAAATTATGGTCTGTGGCAAGATTTGGACCTTTTCGTACTCAATCGACTTCTTGGCTTTGGTGCGATCATCCTCCGCTATTCTCTCCAGCTCATCTTGATCCAAGACAAACTTCCTTTTCGAGCCAACCTTTGCCGTGATAGACCCAGAATCGGCCTCATTTTCACGTGTCGAAGATGAAGACGATGGCGCCGCGGTTATTGAAGACAACGCAGGGTTCAAACCTGCTTGTAGCATCTCAAATTCCTTGATGGCACGTTCCTGAGCTTCTGCATCTTTACGAGCAAGAGCCTCGTGAATCTCCTGCTCGGCCTTCTCTCGCGCACGCTCTAGGCGTTTGATCTCCTTCTTTTGGGCTAAAAGGTTTGCAACAGCGCACTCTCTGCAAAAGACATCGCCATGACTGCAAGAAACCGGGTCCCTGGCGATCTCGAGGCAGAGGTAACAAGAGCCGAAGGGAAGGAACGAGTCTCTGTTAAGTCGGGCAGACGTAGAGGTCCATGCAGCCTTGGCGAGGTCACGTTCGTGCGAGGTGAAAACACTGCGCGAAGTGTTTCTCTTGCCTGGTCAACATCAGTATCGGGCGGGGCATATATTTTGGTCATGGTGTCGCGCCTACTGTGAGCCATGTTTACCGTCGGACTCCGTTTCTTGATGCCTTTCCCCCGAAATGTTTGGTTTTCGAGATGACGGAAATGCCTATGTTGCAATTTTTCCTGGGGTAACTTGAGGTATATAAAAGTGATGTGGCAAAAGGTGGAAGTGAGCTCCGAGAAGCTAAAGCTGAAGGAACGAGAAGCTCAACCAGGTGCCTCGCTACCTAGTGCCCAAAGAAGTTCCTGGCGCGGTATCCGTAGGATGGTAAGGCAAGAAGCCGTGTCGCGACAGTGGGCATACAAAGCAGACAGGGGTAGGTCTCGATGGAACGACGGGATAAAATCATAATGCATTGATGAGGCTTAATCTTTCTAATAACGGGGCGATTGCATCAGAGCGATCCACCGTTTGTTGAGCCCCAGGTTTTTCACGCCCATTTTGCTTGTCACTCTCTCGCTCTCTCTAGTCAAGCATCGTTCGGGTATCATTAGCCCTTAGTTGCTTCGCCTCGCTGCGACGAGACTGAATGAGATTCTGGCCGCTCCCGGTCGCATTGTCCCAGTTTAGTCCGTGGTGGGGGATTTGGTACATGACACTTTAGGCATTGGTCACCCGGTACGCCACGCGTGTTGCCTCTTCTGCAAACATTTCTGAAAGGTGCAAGGTGAGCAGTGCAGGCAAAAGCACTTCGTACCCCTAATTTTTCAATTTTCTCCCACGAGGCTCTATTCCATCAATTTAAAAGCGGCGTCATCCGGCAGATCGTTATCTGCGGAACAGATATGGCGGCCACCGAGGCCGTGCCAGATCGGCCCAGCTTGCCATGGCGCATGGCATCAGCAACTGTCATGACCCTGACAGGAGCAATTTCTCGAGTCTTTTTGTACGCCCTCAACGATATTCAGACGGAGGGTCAAGACGAGTTTCTGGGCCTCTTGGACAAGCGTCGTGCTGGCCATGCCGATCATGGTCTAATTACTGGTATTTATGCTTTTCTATCAACCACACTCGTCCGCAACCCCCCTCTTGGTGAAGAACGCGATTCGCTGATAATGGGTTCCCGCACGCAGTCTCTAATCATATCAGCGTGTGGGTTTGACTTGTGTGGTTTTCGTAGCGAATGCGTCAAGCTGATGCATCTCGAAACCGCAGTCTGGATGACCCCCTGATATGGGGAGTCTTGCCACTCAGGTACAACATGATCCCCGAAAACAGCCGTTGGAGCTTGGGAGCTCACGACATCTGCTTCAAGAATAGGTCTATAATAACCCCTCTCAACCGCAAGTCTTGGTAACATAGAACTCACTCATGTTCCAGTTTCTTTACGACCTTCTTCACTCTTGGTCAAGTCCTACCAACTTACCGAATGCTGCATTCTCCCCACGGAGGGCTATTTCAGCCGACCATGACCCAGGCTATCCGCATACTCTCCGGACCGGGCTCTGTGTACACTCGTGGCGCCACCTTCAAGGCTGGTGCCAACGAGAACTTCAAGTCGCCCGCATATTACGGCGTTAATCATAACGCGTGGATCCATGTCTTTCCGGAGGGATGTGTACATCAGCATCCTCAGAATGCCCTGAGATACTTCAAATGGGGAGTGTCGCGGTTGATCCTTGAGTCCGACCCTGCCCCCCAGCTGGTCCCCATCTTCATCGATGGATTCAAAAACATCATGCCAGAGGACAGAGAATGGCCACGGTTCTTACCGCGCATCGGTGCTAAGATCCGAGTCATTTACGGCAGCGCCGTCGACGTCGATGAAGTTTTCAGAGAATCACGCTCAAAATGGAAGCGTATGGTACGAAAACAAGAGGAGGTTTTAGGCAGGTCATTGAACGCTGGCGAGGTACCTGAAGTACTCAAAGATCACCCCGAGGCTATTCAACTACGCATGGAGGTCGCCAAAACTGTCAGGGCAATGGTTCAGAACCTGAGGCTCAAGGCGGGCTACTCGGATGATGACCATTCGTACGCGCTCGCCAAAACCTGGGAGAGAGAGCCCAAGACAAAGCATTTCCAAAGCCCCGTCGATGACAGTTTGGTCCGTAAGGAGTAGGAGGCTGCGCGTCCTAGAAAACACGAATATCAAGGAATTGGCGGCATGCATAGTTCGGCCCCATGGGTTCTTGTTGAAAACAAAAGTAAGAACAAGCTGTAGAATAAAGGAGTCCACTGGTCGACCTGTATTGCTTGAATGCGCTTGTTACGACAATTTTACGTGCCCTTCGACTTTGTGACCTGCTTCACAACAGTCTTGCAACAGTCAATGGAAAATAAAGACTCAAGGCCCCGAGATGCCTCCCGCTGGATCCGACTATGCCAGAAATGCCAAAACGAAGTTTCAGAAACTCTCCCTTGGAATCAAAGACCGTACGCCTTGAAAACCATACCCAACGAGTCAACTTCAACCATCGCAATCAGTACGCGTCGTACGAAGCCTGGCCCGGATAAGCTCTGGCTTGCGCCTGCAAGGCTTGTTGCTGATGTTGCTGCATCACAATGTCGTTGAACCAGGGGTGTTTGAGCGCCTCATGCGCGCTGATGCGAAGTTCGGGGCGCAATTGAAGCATTCTCTGAAGCAAGTCGATACCAGTTGGATCAATTTGTGGCAGAATTTGGCGTAGATCCTGAGTGGCATACATCTGGAATGTCGGCTTATACTCAGGGAACTGTGTGATGCCGGTCCACGTGCGCTCAGTCGGTGTTCCCATTATGCGGAAAATGCGGATGATTTGATCCTCGTTTGTTGTTCCGGGAAACAAGGGCCTTCCAGTGTACATCTCTGCCATGATGCAGCCAGCAGACCATATGTCGATGCTGGTGTTGTATGTCCTGCTACCCAGAAGCACATCTGGTGCCCGGTACCACAGCGTCACCACCTCGTTGGAGAAGGTGTTGACAGGGATGCCAAATGCGCGAGCCAAGCCAAAGTCGCCAAGTTTCAGCTGCCCTTTGCCGTTGATGAGGAGATTCTGTGGCTTGAGATCTCGGTGCAGAACCCTATTCTGGTGGCAGAAATCGATGCCCCTTAAGAGCTGGTACATGAATGACTTGATTTGATGAGGCTTCAGGGCCCCTCTATCGCCGTGTGTATCCATGTACTTCTTGAGGTCGCCGTCCATGTATTCAAACACCAGCATTAGCTTGTTCTCTGTATGGATGACGTCGTGGAGTGCGACGATGTTCTCGTGCTTGAGCTCCTTCATGAGGGAGATTTCTCGGATTGCTGTTGAAGGTGTACCTTCCTCCGAGTCGAGGTGGATCTCCTTGAGAGCAACGAGCTCTCCCGTTTGGCGATTGCGACCTTTGAAAACCTATGACAATTGTCAGCGGAGGAGACAATTTTGTACTGCTAGGAGGACGTACCGTGGCATAAGTTCCTTCGCCTAGCTTCTCCAACTGCTGGAAGGAGCTCGGATGTCTCTTGCCGTCCATGTCTGATTATGATCGAAAGCGTTCGTACGAAATGGGCGAGCTGATCTATGGTCGGGTATCTTCGAAAGGAACTGCTCGCGCAGGCGAAAAGAAGAAAACGAGTGGTTCTGGACGGCACCAGCCAGAAAATAAGCCGCTCGGTTTGGTACGCAGAAAAATCGAGTGCACTTGACAATCGCGGTTTGTTCCGTATTCTCTTTGTGAAGTGAAGCCTCACGAGGCTGTGTCTGTACGGCTGTATAGGGAGGCAAGAAGTGCGTGAATGTGTGGTTGTGATGGATGCGAAAGCGGCTTGTCGTCAAGTAGGGACTGGGACGGGACGAGACGGTAAGGCAGGTAGGTAGCTGCTGCATACGGCGGCTGTCGATGGGGGGCTTCGTGTCCGCCCGGTGAGTCAGGCCCTAGGGAGAGACGAGTGACGATTAGGGGACCTGCCGAGACTACAGAATACAGCCTCTGAACTAAGTAGGTACCTATGGAGGGGTAAAATGAAGCGACCAGCCGCAGCGGGTCGGGTAAAGCCTGGATCAGCTCACCCATGGAGGCAGTCTGCCCGACATCATACCTAAGGTAAGGTACGGATACCTAAGGTATGATAGGTTCTTAGGTGGGCTTATGTCAGCAGTGTTCCACGCCAACACCCCACACTACCTACCTGAGGAGTACGCATGTCACTGGTCATGCGCCCCTTAAGAGGCCCACCGAATCTCTTGTCAGCTTGTGAGTCGAACGTTATCTACCATTCCATCCGCCAACGACCATACTGCGCCATCGTCTTGACTTCCCGACAACCTTCTAGACTGTGTCTGAATATCGCACGTTCGCCCACTTGATTCCCCGAACACCCCATCTCTTCCAACAACACAGCAGCTGCTTTATCAACTTGGACTGATGATAAGCCGGCTTCAAAATGCGCCCTCTTCCTGGCAGCAGCACCTTCTCTGGGCACGCTTTGTCTGGTGATGGAGCTGCCGATCGCTTCACATCGCAGCCTTCAACTCCTCAAATGTCCTTCATCATTGCAGATGAGACCGCCGTGGAAACAGCCTTGCCATCGCCTTGTCACACCCATCCTCGTGCTCGCGATCGAAAACGTCCAATACATAACCATCTCCCTGCCGGCACCGCGTCGAGCCGTGATTCTAGTGCAGCGCCCCCTGCGCCTGCTCCCCGTCCTAACCTCACATCCACGTTGCAACCTCGTGAAGCCATACAAAACCGACCTCCAGTCACAAGCAATAGATCGCCAACGAGAAAACAGACACCTCCGCCGCCGACACCGTCTCAACCCATGACACCCATCCTCTATGGCGTCTCCGGCCCATGTTCCGCCATAAGCAGCTCCTCCTCGCGACGAAACTCGTTGGCAGGGTCGCTGTCCGAGTACCAAGAGAGCTTCGTCATGAGCGCCTTCGGCGCCTCTGAGTCTGGTCAAGCTCAGAGTTCGTACAACGGCGAGGGTGCCCAACAGTTTATAATGCCTACAATTAGTGTCCCCAGCCGACGACCATTTACCGAAGTTGGAAAATCCTTGGGGAGGCTCAAATTGCTCGTGGCGGGCAAATCAGGTACATGCCCATGTCTTCCGTCGAGAGGGATTGAAAATGGTTACTGACTGTGATCAAACCTCAGGTCTCGGGAAGACATCTTTGATCAGAGCTATCACGCAGTCATGTCCTCACGTTGTGCATGTTGATCCCACAGTGCCTATCGCCATGGCATCCACCGGACTGCTGCCAACGAATACGCTTCCCTACGACCCTCCAATGGCCCAGGGTTCCTGTCGGATTACTAAAACACTCGCCAGTACAAAGCCGTATCCCCAGTGGTGGAGAGAACCAACCTCGATCAGTTCCCTATCTGGTTCCGATACTGCCGGCGACATGGTTCTAGACAGGAACGTCTGCTTTGTTGACACGCCAGGTTACCAGGAAACATGTCGGGTATGCCATCCCAGCTCGTATCGTAGCCTGTTTACCACTGCTGACATCTCAGCCGTCCGATACTGTTGAGCAAGTTTCGCACTACGTCGAATCACACTTGCACAAATGTCGACTCGACGACCTCAATGATTCCAATGTCTTAAGGACCATTAGTGGAGGAGGTGGTCTACTTGTAGATGCCGTGCTGTATATGATTTCCTCTTCAGGTGAGTCTGTAAGCCAACTTTTGCGGGCACCTATGATTGAACATGTACAGGCCTCAGTTCGACCGACCTGCACTATATTCGCCAGCTTCAGTCGCTCACGAACGTCGTGCCTCTCCTGGCTCAGGCAGATTTGCTAACAGCGGGTGAGATGACAAAAAGCAAAGAACGGATTTCCCGCCAGCTAGCCGATGCTGGCCTTGACCTTTTTACGTTTACTTCACAAGGTCTGGATGCGGCAGGAACGTTGAACATCTTCGCAATCTCTAGCAAGACCGGCACAGACGACGATGTAATGGATGCTAGTATCCTAATGAGTCCGGAATATGTTCAACCTCTAGTACCGACGGACCTTTCCAGCCTAGTGAGCTATATCTTCAGCTTCGATGGGGCAGCATGCTTGCGTCACAACGCGGCAAACAAGCTACTTGGTTGGCGTCGTCGGGACGCTGCCACAGGCAACGCGTCTTTCGCCATCGCAGCACAAACAGGTTCGACAGCAGAGAGAAGAATGCTTCTCACTAGGACCAATTTTTCGACCCCTCTCACTGTGAGCCGCGTGTCGAACTACAGCCAGCACGAGGAGCGCTTCTGCCGCCTCCAACTGACGAACTGGGCTGCAGATTTACAGCGCAGTCTGGTCAGAGAACGGCTAATGCGCGAACGAAGATCGCGAGAGCAGGCATCTCCGTGGCTGAGAGGAACATGGAGAGAGGTAGACTTGTCTTCAGATGACAGAGGTCCATCCATGGCACTGGCACGGACTCGGGGGCGACCAAATTCTCCCAGGAAGAGAAGACACAGTTTTGGGTCAGATGTGCTGGTGAAGGAACATGACCCCCTAGGCCTGCTACAACTCAGGGACTTTCGGTGGAAAGGCACCCTGGAAATGGTTGGTGGTGTCGGCATACTCGGTGGTTTGGCATGGCTGCTGATCTGAGGATAAGGCTTTCTTGGAGACGAATAAGCAACTAGCTGCTTGCAAAGGTTGCCTTGTTCATATCGCGTGAAAAATGTTGCATTGCCGACCTTATGATTAATGTGGCGTATACATGAATGAAAAAGCGGTTCTTGCGATTCTTTCCATACCTCATAGTACTGAGCTTTCCTACTTCCAGAGCGTGAAAGGTGTATGATACAGGTGTGTAGGATTTTGTAGGTGCCTACCTCCCCACTAAGGTAGGTACCTATGGTACCTACCTATGGAAGGTATGGTGTGAAGGAACCTGCGGGAGGTACGGATATCTAGGTACGTACTTTACCTAAGGTACCTTAACCTAGGTATGATGTGAAGGCGCGGGTACTCAGCCTGCATGTAAAGTCTCCCCTGCAAATCGGGCCTTGGTTCAGTACCTTACTCGACAGCCTTAGCGCCATTGACGCGCCACGGCCTGCTCTAGTCTCGCGCGTCTACGTACAGTCCTGCGCTCTCCCACTCTCCCCTGCACTTTCTCCAGCGTCCCGTATTCCAACGGAGGCATCCACTACCTACTATCTACCTCGCCAGGCTGGCTTTGCCTTGTCGTCAACCAGTCTTCGTCTGTTTGCCTTTACTTAGAGCATCCTTCTCTCCGACAAATCCTTCCTCCTCATCGCCATTCCTCGCTGCTTGGCCAGGTGCCGCTCCGCTTAGCCACGTTTTTCGACTTGGACGTTCTTCGCGTATCGGTCGCGAAGAAAGTAGCACCTAGGCATGGCCAGCGAAGAAAGAGCTTACGGCGTAACGCCGCCCATCTCCACAGCCCTTCCGACGGAATTGGAGAACCAGGCGAAAGAGGCACTCATTGAGGAACTCAAGAAGCAGAATACCTTCGAAAGTCCCGCAGAGACTGCCAAAAGGCAAGCAATTTGACCGTTCGAGTCGCCCCGAATGTGTCCTACTAGCACGACAATCTAACCCATTCCTTGGCGAATCCAGGTACCAGGTCATCAACCACCTCCAGCAGATTTGCGACGAATTCGTAAAAAGAGTAGCTCGCAAAAGGGAAGAAGGAAATGAGGCTCTCATTAGAGATGCGAGAGGCCAGATTTTCACCTATGGCAGCTTTCGCCTGGGCGTCTACGGCCCCGGCTCCGATATCGATACCCTCGTCGTCGCCCCCAAGTACGTTACTCGGTCCGATTACTTCGAAATATTCCCCGGTCTGCTCAAGGAAATGGCCCCTTCCGACGCAATAACGGATATGGCAGTGGTGGAGGATGCCTTCGTCCCCATCATCAAGTTCGAATTTTTTGGCATCAGCATCGACTTGATTTTCTCCCGTATTGCCATGCTGAAGCAGCTGCCCAAGGAGTTCAATGTCCAGGACTCCGGCTTGCTTCGAGGTCTAGACGAGGCAGAACTTCGCTCCTTGAATGGTACGCGTGTTACCGACGAGATTCTAAGTCTTGTACCGGAAGAGGCTACCTTTAAGTTAGCTCTGCGCGCCATCAAACTTTGGGCACAGCGACGTGCAATCTATGCCAACATCATGGGCTTCCCCGGTGGTGTGGCATGGGCAATGCTTGTCGCTCGAGTTTGCCAGCTGTATCCGAAGGCCGCCAGCTCTGTCATCGTTAACAAATTCTTCCACATCATGCGCCGTTGGCCGTGGCCGCAACCCGTACTGCTGAAGAATGTGGAAGGTGGTCCTCTGCAGGTCCGCGTCTGGAATCCCAAGGTGGGTTGGAAATCGAAGAGCCTGGTTCAAACCTGTCTTCGGACCTCTGTTGACCCTCGCACTAGGTTTATAAAGGGGATCAATTCCACCTCATGCCCGTCATCACCCCCGCCTACCCTTCCATGTGTGCGACCTACAATATTACACGATCTGCCATGACGGTCATTCAACAGGAGTTGACAAGAGGTTGCGAGATTACAGACAACATCATGGTTGGCAAGAATCCTTGGAGTGATCTGTTTGTGAAGCATACCTTCTTCACCCAGGGATACAAATACTACATTTCAGTTATCACCGCGAGTACTGACAAAGAAGCCCACAAGATATGGTCTGGTTACGTCGAGTCAAAAGTTCGTGTCTTGGTCCAGGGCTTGGAGCAGCATCAGTCTATAGCATTGGCACATGCGTTCAATAAGGGCTACGAGCGCCGTCACAGATGCACGAGCGACGAAGAGGTCCAGCAAATCCAGGCAGGAAGCTTGAATTTCCTTGTCAAAGACAGCCAGGTCACAGACGACACGGGTGCTTTGAAGGAAGAGAAGCTCGAAACCAAAGCTGAGCTGAACGGGATTCCAGGTCTCAAGACCGAGACAGACAACATTCCCGGGCTTGAAGCTGAAGCGCTTGACACGAACGTGGGTTCAAAGAAGGAGATCATCGAAGAGGACAAGTTCAAATTGGAGGATGAGCATCAGGTCAAGCTGGAGGACTGCAAACCGCGGTCGCCTCTGGCCGAAGTGTTCACGACAACGCACTATATCGGCCTTACATTGAGCGAAGGTAGGTCGCCGCTAACTGATCTGTGTTCAGCACTCCATCCTTTCTTTCAGGTTCCCTTGAAGTCTTCTGGGTGTGGGTAATGCTGACTTGCTAGGCGCCAAATCGCTTGATCTATCGTATCAGGTGGACAACTTCAAGTCGCTGTGTACTTCGTGGGATAAATATGAGCCCACACTCAACTCCCTGACGGTCCAGCATGTGCGAAGGTAGGCGCAACACGCCGGATGTATCAGTGACTAGGCTCATTCGTATCTAGTTTCAACCTCCCCGACGACGTTTTCGAACCTGGCGAAAAGAAGCCCCTGAAGCCTCAGAAGAGGCAAAATGCCACCAACGGGGCTGCGCAAGTCAAGAAACGAGGTGCTTCAGAGGTATTGCCACGACTAGAGCTCGCCGCTACAACGGAAAGCTCGCTTCGGCCCAATGAAATCCCTTCGCCAAGCTTTGCTAACGAGTCATCTAGGAAACTCCACAACCTCCAGCAAAACGCCAGGCCGCTTCTGTGACAGCGGCCGGTTGAGAGTGTTCTGCAGAGCATGCTATCGCACACCGTGCATCAAGGCCTTTCAAGTATTCAGCTTCACCCGCGAACACTGTTGGCATGATGCCAATACAGCAGCCTTTGCTGTACACCCCTTTCACCAGTTCACTAATCAGCAGGCAAGGAATGACGAATGCACTCCAGCTGGGTCAACTGCGGCACCATGGGACGGCTTTAGACGGCAAATGCAAAACTAGTCAGGATGCTCGCGCTACTTGTCGAAGAAAACTTCAGCCAGTCGACACACCCTACAACCACCCCCAACCCCCCCAGAAAAAAGAAAAGGAATCAAAAATACCAGTACGTATCGTGGACTTTGGTATGTTACTCGCCGATGGTCGCTCAACGTGAGTCTACTCGGACGAGCGGAGACTACTAAAGAGCAATCCAGGAATAGAACTGGCACCCATGAAATCGGCGTGAAGGCAGCATGCGGTTTGTATGCATTGCAGTCAGTATCTTCTACTCTCAGGTGTCTGGATGCGCTTGAGTAATTGTACATTAGACATTCCACAGCTTCACGAATAAACTGTGCATTATCACTTGTGGTTGGTGACCCTCGTCTCGTAAGGTATGAATTGTGTCGGCTCGAGATATCTATCAGCAGTAGTCGTCGTCGTCGTTGTCACTACCACTCGACCAACCCTCACGGTATGCTTCAGCAAGATCGGCAAGCTCGTTGCTAATATCCTCACGATCCTCCACACCGATGGAGGACGCAACAGCTATGCGCAGTTCTTTCATTGCTGCAGACACGGATGTGTCTGTGGAGAGGCTCGCTATGGTGCCCAAAGTGTCTGGGGAGGTCTTGTCGCTGCGGTCTGGGTAGATGTGAGGGAAACTATCGAGCATGGGGAACCCCTTTTCTGTGTGGTATCTGTGGCACGGTGAGCTCTAATTAGATAGTGAGGTAGCTTGTGCCGAATCCTCCTTGACATTGGGAGGTATATCGAAGAGGGCGGCAGTTCTCTCACCTTTGAGTGCTCGTCTCCACAAGGGCAGCTCTGGGCCGATATCTTTGCTTGCTATCTTCCGAGATTTGTGCCTGGCCACGGGTGGTGACAGTGTGACCAAAGAAATGTGGCGAACTGGCCGATTCCTCGAGGCTTCTTTTGCGGGGCAGGGGTTTTGTTCTCAGGATATCAAAAAAGTCAACGTCCAGCTTGGTATGGTCGTCTACATGGTTTATTCCCGCGCTCGAGTTTGATTTCGGCCCGGTAACGCTCAACTGAAGCCTGCTCATAGTCTGCTTACCCTGCAGATTCAAACCGCTGACTAAATCACCAAGTGAGGCCTGAGGGCTACTTCCACCAACTTGAGAATTCAGACGCGACGCGATAGTGGCCGTCTCCATGGCAGTGTTAAGCAGGGCTGAGGTATGCCAGAGAGACTGCAAGTTCAGGTTGATGTTGGAGGGCAGTCGGCCATGAGGAAGTGCCATGGGCACCATCATGGAAGCATGCTCACATAGGTCCTTGACGGTTCTCGCAGTATTGGCTGCTTGCATACGTCGTTGATCCTGGCGATAGGGTTAGTCTGGTTGCCAGGACGAAGAAGCCACCCAAGAATCTAGATTAGGGGCTCTCACAATCATCAGCCCCGGAGCAGGTGCCTGCAGACCCCAAACCCATATGGAAGTTTTTCCGTATTCATCCCGTAGACGCTGGATGTACTCGGTCGCGAAGCCACCCCAGGCGTCGTCGATGGTGGTGACGATTTGGAAGCCCTGCGTTTGGTCCGCTTCTTCGATGAAGGGGCGAAAATCTCGGTCCACTATGTCATGTTCCCTGTCCAGACCGTCAAAAAGCTCTTTTCCTAGTGACCATTTATCAAAGGGCATAATGGATGAGTTGAGCTCATAGTCGTATAGTTGATTGAGTGACTTCGGGTGGTAGAAGACACGAGAGAAGTCTGACCAGTACCGCACGTCGGACGGTTTGAGTGTCGGAGCAGGAGCGCCAAGATCAAGACTCTGCTGGTAGGCACTCTGCTCTATCTCAGGCTGTTTGTGAACATGAGCCGACCCTCCCCTGTCATGAGGTGAGCAGGACTGGGGAAACAAAGGGCCGTTCTGGTGAGGGGATATGGATTGAACCGACCAGAGATGGGTGGGAGCAGATTCATCGCTGGCGTCGTAGAGGGCATTGATCTTGCGGAGTGAACCGAAGCCGCCCTTCAGGTCATAGATGATGGTGCGCGGGAGGAAGGTCTCGGAGCCATCCAGGGCTACACCTGGGCGCCAGTGAACGTTGTGATTCACCGGAGATTCATCCTCGGCCGAGTAGGTGAAATAGGATTCCTGGTAAAGAAACGAGTCGAGTCAGCGGCCAACGAGCAAAGCGGTGGTATAGAAAGCTGGGGTCTGAACCTGGGTGTTCCAGAAATGAGTCGCTGCGTAGTTACTCAGCTCGCCCAGTTGCAGAGTGATGATCTCGTGCATTTTGATAAAGACTGGCCAAAGTGTGTAGCGCAAGTATGTCTACTGCAATGCCAATTTACATGTACCCATGTGATATTCAATTCGATGCGGGCAATGTGGGGGCTGGGATAAGTGAGGTAAGGTACTACCTACCTTACGTAGTAGAAGGACGCGGATCGGTTGCTGCCCCGGTATGTTCTCTATCGCGCTCCATCCGCCCTACAGCCCAGCTGGGTTTTGGGTATCTCTACATGACTGATTGAGCGACTAACGTTCCCGTGTATGGGTTATGAATGTGCCAACCCCCCCCCCCCTTCCCCTTCTTTCTGCCTAAAATAAGAACTGAAGTAGCTGAAAAGCTAGTCGTGCCGTTCGTCCATTGGGTATCAACAATCGAACGCAACTCGGCGGAAGAAGGGAGCAACGCGCGCACCACCGCCATTTCTAGGGATAGAGAACGGCGACGTTGTGGTGCGCCGCTCGAGGGTCTGGAATGATGGCAGATATTCTCCCCCTTGACGGGATGTCGGTTCCTAATTCCATCGCACCACCCTGCGATGCGATAGACTTTGATGATTCAACCTTGGCCACAGGACAGCGCTTCACGGGCTGTGAGAAATCCACAGTCGATCGGCAACCTGTGTATGCTATCCATCAATGCACACACTGTACGCGCAAAGCTGTTATGGGGCTAGGAAACTGCGTAGGGCGGCGGATGGGTGAGGAGCGGGCAGGATGCACGGAACCTGACACCTTTTTCGCGCACAATGCACGTAATTTAGGAGCGAGGTACGCACGCTGCACGCACACGTACAGTATCAGCCCGGACTCGGTGCCTGGCGGTACCTCAGTAGTGGAGGTATCTCAAGTCGGGTAGGTTGGTTGCCTTACTTCATTCAGCCCGGGCAGCTAGGTAGGTAGGTACCTGCTGGCCAGTACAGATAGCCACTGGGAGGCTTAGCATGCCGTCACAGGCCACTGATTTACCTTTCTTCCCTCAGCTCTATCAGCCTTGGCAAAATGCACCTCACCTAGGCACCTTGGTTGGTACCGACACCCCCGACTTAATTAACGCCCTTCCCCCTCCCTCCCTCCCAAAAAGGCCGACGCGTGCCAGACATTCGCGACAGCATCTCTCAACCCTTGCACAAATCCAAGCCAACCGCTGGCTGATATCCTCAGCTCCCACCACCAATCATCTTCACCTCCACGGTTACCACTGTTCGTGATCGCAAACTCCGGCCTAGGGATCACTTTTCTTTTCCCTCCTCTGCTCCCGCAAGTTTTAGACGCATACCTGTGGTGGTCATCAACGCCATCCGACGGCGGCTGCTACCACGACTGCGACCGCGACCCAATCTTGAAAGTGAGCCACCTGCGCTTGCGCCTCGCGTGGTCCCAAGCCCCGGCTCTCTTCTCAAAGCATCAGGATAACTCACATTCAACCGAAGCCTTATCCAACTTACAGCCTCCCTCGCTTCCGCACTACTCGCAGCCAACCAACCCATCCAACGCACACCCTACGCCCATCCTCCTCCTGGTAGCATTTTTCTGCCTCGAAGTCCAGTTCAACCAGCCCTCACGAGTCTACGAGACACGACCGCTCGCCCCCCATTCCTCAACCCTCTGAGACCGACTACTTGAATAAACGCCGCCCATCATTGTTTGCCCGGTTTGGCGCCCCCGAACTCCCCTTGCTCGGATCCTCCCCCATCAGCTGCCGCATGCTGCAAAAGACACATCCTCATTATGCCTGCATCAGCAAAGCGCTCCCAGCGCACCCGTCGCGACACCCGCCGGGACACCTCTCCCGCCGCAAGAGTCGATGATAGCTCACCTAGTCGCCCGGCCAAGCGTCGCAAGAAGGTACCCGTTTCCCTCACCCAGGTACGCGCCACATCAGGACAGTCCTCTGACATTGCTTTCAGGTTGAAGAACCGCCGCCAGTCGAGCCCGCCGACGAAGACGAGTCCAGTCTCACCGCCGACCAGTCCGGTCAGCCCTCCAGCGACGATGATCAGCTACTCTCCCAGGTCGTCCAGCATTTGACTTATCCCAAAGAAGGGCCTGTGCAAGCCAGCAAAGACCATGCAAACTCAATGCATGAAGCCAACAAAAACGGCGTTCAGGCGTATGCTAAGATCGCCGCACAGGATTGGACCTTTTACATTACGAAACTTAACGTCAATATTGGTCGCTCGGCTGAAGGTGTCGACGAGGATGACGAGGACTTCATCCATATCGATCTTGGCCCGAGTAAAATGGTCTCTAGACAACACGCTCGCATTTACTTCAGTTCGAAGGAAGAGGTCTGGTTCCTCGAAGTCAAGGGAAGGAACGGTGTCCGAGTGGATGGCGTGTCCTTGAAAGCAGGTCATTCGAACCCTCTTCAGAGCGGTCAAGTACTCGACATCGGTAACACAGAGATGATGTTCGTCCTGCCGACAGAGGTCACCCCTCTCCACATCCACAATCTCTACCTGAAGAGGGCTGGTTTGTCACGACAAGATATCACAAGTCCCCCTCAACCCAGAACAGATTTGCCAGAGGAGCCGTCTTCAGCTCTGGGATCAACAATCAGGAGTTCGCGAGGCCAGCCCTTCCGCCAGCCCATAGCTCCGGCACCAGCAGATTACAAGCGACCTGGGACCCCTCCCTCTGTGCGTGGGAAGCCCACACCATCGCAACACAAGTCGCCACATTATTCGAGCTCGGGCACTCTTTTGGTGAACTCGAATGACATTGATCTTAGTCACGACGATAATAAGCACATCAAGCCACAGTACAGTTACGCGCAAATGATCACTCAGGCCATTATCAATACACCCGAAGGGAAGCTCAATTTGAATGGTATCTACAACTTTATCATGAACAACTACGCCTACTATAGGCACCAGCAAGCCGCAGGATGGCAGGTACGTTTCATGTGACCAGTTCTGTCTCGCTCAGGCTGTTAATTTTGTCAAAGAACTCCATTCGTCATAATCTCTCGCTGAACAAATCATTCGACAAGGTGGCCAGATCCACTGATGAGCCTGGCAAAGGCATGAAGTGGCAGATTGTCGCAGATGCACGTGAAGAATTGACCAGGAGTGCATACAAGGGCGGGCGGGGTGGCCACCGAGGCTCCTCGGCGCCTTCTTCGCCCAGCCAGTTGAACTACATCACACACGGTCCGAAAGACGTGAATGCAAGAGGGGAGCCTGCCTCAACGCGGAAACGAAAAGTGTCGGCTACAGGCTCACCGCCTCCCAGCTCTTCCCTCGCTGCGGTACAATCCACCCCAGACCGAAGCACACGTCGTCTTGCACCTCCCAGCACGGCATTGACTGCGGATGGAAGTCCTCTCCCAAGGCCCCGCAAGGGCGGCACGTCGGCCTCGGAGAGCTTCACCTCGGCAAGCTACAATGATCAATCTCCGACACTGACTTCATCGTATCTTCCTGACGAAGGAGCATCTTTCGTTACACCCGCACCCCACCGAGTTCACCCACGACTAGCACCGCCTAGCACTGCCCAGAGGCCTAGCCAGCACATGCCTACCAGCTCCCCGGCGCCCTTTTGGAAGTATGCCGAGATTGGTAGCACTCCGCTGAAGCCTGGCGCCCACTTCGACATGAGCCCGTCCAAACCGTCTCTAGGTGGGGTTCCTCAGAGCAGTAGTCCACCCCCGGCCAAGTCACCCAACCAGAGCCCGACAAGATCTCAGAATAAGGAATCATCCCGGGAGGCGCCAAGCGAGCCTTCGAATCCTCCCGAAATCGAAGAGGAGCAGGGTTTTGACTTAGCAAAGTGAGTTCTGGAACCATCGACAGCAGAGGTTTTATTGTACTAACAACCGCGCCAGGGGTTTCCAAAGCATTGGTTCGTACCATGCGCCTGTGAGCCGAGGAATATCCATAGCTAGTGCTATGAACGGTCACTCATGATAATGGTAGCTAATGACAAGAAATGAATTTTTGGAAACCGATCACCAGCGGGTTCCGAGTGTGTGCCTCAGTCCATAGACAGTGTGGTATGTCGAGGAACGGGTGGAAGGGCCTCTTACCGAGCGCGAAATCATTTAAAAGAGTGAAGAAGTGTGATTCTGTCAAGTGTTCCGCCCTATGCTACTTTTTTTTTTCTCTAAGTGCCGGAATCTATCAAGTATGCACCGACCGTTAAGCCCATCCAATTATATCAAGTACACTTGCCCCAACCTCGTAATCACGTATATTCTGATAAAAATACAAGTGTGTGACGGCGTTGATGTCTGTCCCAGCAGGATCAGCAGCCAAAAGCGTGCACACGTTTCTCTTTTGTTTGCGATTTACTTAGAGGCCTTGCCTCTTCTCTTCGGGTTACCCCTGCTCGGCCTTCCTTTTGAGGACTTCGCCTGCTGGTCGGTGCCCTCGATGAACTTGATGAGTTCGTCGATGCTGCGCGAGTCCATTTGCGAGGAACCGCCCAGACGAGAGTTTTGCGTGGTAGACACGCGAGGAGCGGGTGCGGATGCCTCGTAAGGAGATCCCTTGGGCGTGAAGCGTATGCCGGCACGGAGACGGCGTGCCTGAGCATCCTTCGCGTGCTTGGCAAGAGCAACGGCGTTCTGTGTCAACTGCTCAAGCCAGCTCTCTGCCTCCTTTGTGTTTTTGTCATCAGGGCCGAGCTCACTGAGGAAGATGTTGTAAGACTCGCGCATGCGGTTGACGGCGGCCTTGGAGTCCTGGTCCAGCGCAAGAGCCTGAGCGAGCTGGAACAGAAGAGTGGCAGCATTGATGGACTGCTTGCCGAAAATCTGCTCACAAATGCGAAGGGACTCCTCGAACCACAGCCTTGACTCATGGTAGGACTTGAGGTGTTGCAGCATGACAGCCCCATTGTTGATAGTAGTGATAGAGTCAGGATGGTCAGCGCCGTAGATGATCTTCCAAAGCTTCAACGCATGCTTGGCGTAAACCAAAGCGGCGTCGCTATCGCCAGCCTGGTGCAGGAAGAGACTCAAGTTGAGGTAATTGAGGAGAGTCTCGGCGGAGTCGACACCGACCGTCCTCTCGGAGACGACGATGGCCTTTCTTGCGAGCTCAACTGCGGCCTCCTTCTCTTCCAGTTGGTAGTACAGCATGGAGAGGGTGTTGTAGACGCGAGCGACCTCGGGATGAAGAATTCCATAAATCTGCTCATGAAGGGATAATGACTCCAGAAGAAGCTCTTGGCCAAGCTTGCGCTGGCCCTGCATGATGGAAATACGGCCAGCCTCCAGAGCTTCTTCGGCGAGAGCGCTTCGCGGGCACGAGTGCTTGACCACTGGCACGAAATTGACGATATCGTCAGCGGTGAAGGCGGTGGCGGGAGGCGGCGGGCTCGAGGAGGTAGGCGAAACATCCTTGGGCGCCTTCTTCTTCTTCTTGTTTTTGCTCTCGCCGTTGGCCCCATTTGTAGAGGTGCCGTTGGTAGCAGGAGCTGGAACGGCCTGCTCAATGGGCCTGCTGGTGAAGTTATATTCCTTTGCCTGCAGCTGAAAGCCAAGCTTCAGGGAAATTTCACGCAAGAGCTGAGGGGCTTGAATTGAGTAAACCACTCGGCGTCCAGACGGTATCTGAATCTCTTGAAGGTTTGTTCCTCGATACTGGCACGGATGGTCTCGGGCGTGGCCTTCTCGAACGACAAGTCGGCATCTGAGTACAGAGACCTCAGAGTTGAGTCGATTTCAGCGGGGGGGTTGGGGTTCAATTGGGACCCCAAAAGGCAGTTGAGGAGGTGGGAAATGCAAGCCGATGTGAAAGGTGCGGGCAGATGTCTGAGATATGTGGCAGCGACGTGCTTGAATGACCGAGCGACCATGTCCTGGATGCAAATGTCTTTCAGGCACTGAAGGCGAGGATCCGAGGCGAGAGTTGCAACCTTGCCGGTGTATCTGATGTTGATGCCCCTCTTGTGCAAGAGACGGCCAAGAGACTGACCATCCATGGGGAAGCTAATCTCGCAGTCGGTAAGCTCACGAATGAGGTCGGAAATGACCTGCTCTCGAAGATACTTGCAGGCGAGGCGGACATCCTCTTCATCCTGCTCCATCTCAGCCTTCTCCGCATCGGTCTTAGGGACCTGGCCGCTAAAGACATCGGGGTTCAGGGAAAACTGGAACTTCGAAAGGTCAATGTGGTCTTTCGACTCCTTTGACTCGTTCAATGCCTCTGCCTCCTTGTTGTTTTCAGGCTTCCCGGCTTTAAGAGGGTCCTTGGCGGATTTGGACTCTGCTTCGCTTTCGCTTTCATTCTCACTCTCCTCACTGTCATCACTTCCGTCGCTCTCGTCCTCGGTCTTGGCTTGTTGAGATTTCTTAGACTCGGCAGGGGCTTCCTTTGTCGCGTCCTTAGCCTTGCCACGCTGGGCAAGCTCCTCGTCGACCCAGGCTTTCATCTTCTTTCTGCCGTACGACTCAACCAATTCGGGGCGGAGGACCGCCATACGATGAGGATAGTTATCGAAGCCCTCCTCATTCTCCTCAAGCCAATCGATATCCAGAGGCGTCACGCGATACAAGTCCAGAACGTACTTTCTTCCGTCTGTGCCCATCAAGCCCTTGGTCTCGACGCTGGCCTCCAGGTCGACACGCTTGCCATCCTTGTCCCAGACAGCATGCTTTTTGACCCTGAGAGCGCGCGACAGCTTTTCGAAAACAGACACGAATCGCTCGTCAGACGCGACAACATCTTTGCCGTCAACAGCGCCATAGTCGATTTGGTTTTCGCCAGGGTCCCTCTGCTTGAAAATGCCAGGCACGATACTCTGACCAACGATGCGTTTACCAAGGTAATCGACAACGACCGTAGCAGGTGTGAAGAGGCCATCGATGTCCAGCTGGTTCACCAGCCTGACACCAGCCACGTCCTTGCCAGTTGCAACACGGGCAGCCTCATCGCCTCCCTCGGAAGTGAATGTGCCCACGCCATCGGCACCAAAGGAGAAGAAGACATTGTTGTAGACAAAGATCTGAGCATCCTTGCATTCCGTGGGATTCAGGGGGGCGACCTCTCCGCGAGCAACCAAGACCGCACCTCGAGTTGCAGCGTCGTTGTAGTCAGCGAAAAGTTTGGACATGAGACGCTCACGGAAAACTCTGTCTTGGACGGTCTCTTTCGGCAGCTCTCTCGCTGACTGGAATTCTTCATTCCAGTCTCGCAAAGTGTCCGTGTTATCGGCACCTGCAATCAAGTATGTTTCTTGGGAACGTGTGGGGTCGGCAGAATGGGCGCATAGTGGGGAAGACGCCGAAGGTACGATCCATGGCGCCGAGGGAATGGCATTGGTGATTTGGAATGTCGCCAATGGGTCCTTAAGACTATTGAACTCCTGGAATTTCAAGAAAGAGGCCGAGAAAGATGGTGAAATGAGGTCAAGTAGATTCAGCAGTGAGTGAGCCGACTGGCCTTTAGGGGCAGGTCGAGGAAAGGGATCGAACTTCTGGTTGGAGGACTTGTTGACGAAGAAGCCGCCAACGTGAGCTGTGATCTGGTGCTGCTCGCCCTCATTGGTCGTGGCCACAAGGTACAAGAGGTGGCCTCGTTGCTTGAGGTGAGGGGGCGGGGGGTTCCAGGCCGACAAAGAGATAGACTTGATAGTCTTCGGAGCTTCTTCCTCGGGTGCTGGGGGAAGCAGAGTGGAAAGCGGGACCGGCGCACCAAAGGTGTACTCATTTTTAGTGGCATCCCCCTTGGCGGCTTGGGAATGGACCTGTTCTGCATTGGACTGCTCTTCCGACGGGGGCTCGACGGTATCGAGAAGAGACAGGCCCGGGAGAACACCTTGGACAGCATCGGTACGGTCTCCGGCGGCGCCAATGAGTTCTCTAATTCGAACCAGATGTATGCGAGCCTCCTTCTCGGTGTAAGGCTCCTCGACCAGCGTGACCTCAGGGTCCTCGCTCAAGCCTTGTATATCCGAGATAGGAAGGAAGTCGTTAATGCGTTCGCCTCGATGTTCCAAGTGGAAGCAGGTGTACTGGAACGCCACGGGCAAGTCGATGATGGACTGCCGAACTTCATGGACTTGCTCTTGAGGAGAGACCTGCAGCGGAACAGGCAATCAGCGACGTGTACTTGCGAATGGGCATGTGCCAGGCGGCTAACCGTGATCTGCATCTGACCGGGTTCGTGAGGGAGCTTGATGGTAAGATTGATCAATGCTTCCAGGCCTTGGTCGACCTCAGCGCCCTCGGTCTGAGCCTCGACCTGGCCCTCGGCGGGAAGCTCAGGCTCATTTGTGGCATTATCTGGGTAGATGGCTTGTATTTAGCTTGGACTCAATCAAGAAGCAAGCGCTGTAATGGACAATACCTTTGCCTGTGGGTTGATCGGAGTGTGACATTTGTACTTCTCTTGTGCACAACAACCTGATTCCTTGTTTTGAGAAGACAGTCTTCCTCGAGCGGTTGGTTGCGGCCGGAGAAGTAAGACCTTGGGGAAGAGAGGGGTTGAAATCCAACAATCGCACAACCCACCAAAACAACACGATGGGTGAGAAGCGTCAGTACCTTGGATTCACTCGACTCCAAGTGAGGGGGGTGAAAAGAAAAAAGGACAGAGGCCTGAAAAGGTAAGTGTTCCAACCCAAACGACCAAGTTGGATTTTGCGGGTGTGTGGAGTGAACAAGAGCTTTTCCTGTGAAGAAAAAAAAAATTCGCTTGTAGAGAAAAAAAAAAAGGACGTGACGGCAATGCACCGGGCCGGCGTATTGGAGCTACGTTCGGTTTTTTCGGGGGAGAGGGAGCACCGTGCCGCTCCAGCTCCACCTCAGCTCCAGCACCAGCCGCGGTGGGCTGGGTCTCGGCGTCGTTCCAGGGCGGCTCTTAGGTAATACAGTGTACCTAGGTAGGAAAGGCACACGAGCTGGAAGCTCAGGTCGGCTGATGTGACCCACTTCAGGAGCTGTTGTTACCTAGGTGCCGGTACCTTAAGTCATCTTGTTTACTTAGCGTCAAAGTAAATATTGAGGTGTGAGAAACGACGAATCAAACAGTGAACGGACTACAACGTGACCTCGTTCGACCAGCATCAACTATTCAATTTTTTTTTTATCAGACTCTGAGCTCTGTCTTTCCCATTGTCATCCTTTTGTTTGCCCAACTTATTCTCACAGTCTGGTATCTCTTGGGGAACAGATCGTCGCAGGTTTGCTTCACCATCGCGGACCACCGCGGAGACCATTTGCTTCATCTTAACCGCTTGCAGCATTCAACAGCGTCGCAGAGCACTGGTTAGGGGACTTAGACTCTATTCATTAGTCTTTGACATACTTCTTGGGCAGACAGTTCATCCAAGTTTGCCATCGGCATGGCGCGTAACGAAGCTTTCGACAAACAAAAAGCTGTCTCTGGCGGGCCCTCGAACGATGATCGAGATTATTGCGGGCTCCCAAATACGGCATGGACTGCTTCAAGATGCAGGCGGCTCTTGCGGCCGTTGAATTCTCGCATCATTGCTTTACGGAAGATCTCCGACGCGGAAAACCCAGCTTGGAATGAGGGATCCTGCCGAGCCGGAATCGCCCAAGCAAACCCGCAGCCTCCAGCCAAGAAAACGAAGATCGGCATCGCAACCAAATCAGGTGATCTGAGCAGACGCCCGCAACGTACATATTCGAGGAAAGCGTCCCCAACGCTGAGGACTGGCACAGCAGCCACACAATCATCATCGAAGGCATCGATACGGGCCGCCAGTTACTCACGCCAAAATCCTCAGTCTAGTGTGCCGAACGTACCAACCCCAGTTCTACGGAAAGTGACATATCATGAGCTTGGTACAACCATTCCCACCACATCTATACACGAAGGGACAGCAACCGCCTACATGGCGCCAAGATTCGAGAGAAAGGGACGATTGGACTCAGCTCTGAGTCAAATGGAACGACTGAGACACAGTTGTTCACCTTCCAAGTATCAACTATATGAGGGGATTCTCCACGATCTGGATGTACTGCTTCGTGCAACCCCGACCGGCAAGCCGTTGGTTCATAAGAAGTCACTTTTGGCAATGAGCATGCGGAAGGTTCCGTCTCGCGCGGCAGAAATTGATGCTTGGGAGAAGCTCGAGGCAGAAGCTCGTGGGCCAGTTTCCTCAGTCAAGAAAGGCAGTTATTCGCTTCTTGTATATGACGAGTTGGAAGCCTTGGGCGGCGCTGATCACGGATGGGGCCCCCTAGGGCTGTTGTTGAGGGCTCACGCAATCTTCCTCTTGCGAGGGGCCATTGACGACGGCATCCTTGACGAAGAATTCACTCGCATTCTCATCCATCACTGTAAAAAGGTTGGGTGCTATCAAGAATCTGGAGATATCATGGAGGCCTTCCTAGGACGTCGCTTCACCAAGGCTCGGAGAGACGGTGATGGATACGACAACACTGGCCAAAGTGACGGTTTGATGACGATGTCCGACCTCGCGACCAACGCCAACATCATGCCGTACTTGCTTCAATCTACATCATTGTTACTGTTTCATGGCCACCTCCACGGGAATACACTATCGACACAGGCACTGGGCTCGCTATGGACAGCGTCTGCATCGTCTATGCTAGACGAACAGACGAATCCTTCGGCCATTCATTTTGCATCGGTGGGACTTGGATCGCTGTCCCTCTGTGCATTTGGTAGACGGAGGGGACGGAAGGCGAGTGGCTGTAGCACACGCGAGGATGCTGCGAAGCTGACTTTAACGGGCGTGCTCGGAGCTCTATCAGCCATGGCCATGATATCACGAAGAGTTGGGACTGCGACGCGCGTGGACGGAACCACTCGTCGGGTTTCCCACGTAATCCAAGAAGCCCTGGCTTTTGTGACGAGCAAAGGAGGTGGAGGCGATGCATTGTATCCTTTGCTGCTGACCAGCTACCTCGCCTCGGGTTCCCTCACGACAGCCAAGAACACGGCAAAATCAGCATTGAAGAACATATGGGCAGCCGACTGTCAATCGCATCGATCCAACGACCAAACCGACAAGCAATACGGCCAACTTCACGATATGACCATTGCCCTCACGTGCTCGGCAGCTCACTGCTGCGGCAAAGCAACTGCTGGGCCATCCAGCAGTCAGTACTTTGCGGCGATTTGCAAGCTCGTCGACGAGCTGCATATCCCTCAACTTGCCACGCTGAGCAGCGACGGCGCTTTCCCACTGGCACAGAAAACTGATGACCTGCGTGATCTTGTTTTTGCAGAAGCCCTGATGGGTGCATCATCAGAACAGGACACAATGCCGGAATCTCTAGGCGCAAGGGCTGCTGCTTTCGCTGGCTTCAGATGGGAGGAGGGCATCAGCGAGTGGATCGCTCTGAGTCCAGCTGCGAAGCCACGGACTGCTGTTGGGCTTGCCGCTGTCCTGCCCCGTCGGAGCAGTCGGGATCGCAGTGCGAGTGAGAAAATCCCAGCAGCCCGGGTAGAGACGCATGTGCCAATGGCTGCGACGGGGCTGAATGACAGACGTAGGCTTTCCATCGCTACGGACGACGTTATGACCAAGCCTGGCAAATTTGACGAGCGCCGTGGGGGACGGCGCCGAGCCGAGAAGAGAAAGGCCCCGGACGAGCCATATGAGGATGACAAAGTGGAAAGACCGCGAGTGCTGGGTCAGGAGAACTGCGAGGGCGAGTCCCAGTTAGGCAAGCTGGCTGTCAAGGCCCGGGGAGGTAGCCGGCGTCCGGTCCGGCGCGGCGAGACAGGCAGTCGCAGGGTTCTGACAGAGTTGACTATCACGAGCAACATGACTGGCCACGGTGATGATGACGAACTAGGATTGTAATGAGCACAGCAACAAGTAAATTGAAAGCATTGTTTTTGGCCAGGCGGAATGGTCGGTGGAATTCAGAACATCCGTCAGTTCATGTTTCATTACCTTGTCCATGTGGAGGTGAGATGCATTGGTCGACAGGGGTGTCTACTTCTAAGTTCTGTCTAATCCGTAGGCTCTTCCCCTTCCATCCACATGGCCATGTCTTCTTCCTGCTCCGAACCCATGCTTGTTCCTGCGGCGCCCGCGTGGATATGCAATGGTTCTTGTGGATGGATCAGAGGATGGAACGATCCTCGCCAGGCGCCCTCAAGATCACGTATTTCGAAAATACAGCCCGACCCTTCAAGGCCGAGCGAGGCACCTGTAACGAGCAAACGGTTATCTCGGCGAGCGTCCTGGTAGCCCAACAGTAGAAGATGTGGATGGACGTCCCAGTGAATGGCGTGAAGCAGGCAAGGACGGCTTGAATCGTTCAGACGACGGGGCGATGTGATGCGTTCCTCGTCTGGGCGGGCTGCCATCGCCTATGCCCCAGGCCGAAAAGATCGTGATTGTCAATCACATTGGCGACATATTCGGGACGAGAAACATGCGCACCGACAAGATCTCGACTACCAATTGGCGAGGAGCGGAGCCTGTCCGGTGTATCACTCTGGTCCCGATCGGTATGGTGAATGCCAATTGCTTCAGAATGAGATGAGACGGAGTGGCATTCGTGTATGGTGTGCGTGGACATGAACAACTCGTCCCGACAACAAGCCACAAGCTGGAGCGTCGTAAGACCGCTTCTAGATGTTCATCATGTTGACTGCAGTTGACCAAGATGGCATGCAGTGAGACAAGGCCTTATGCAGCAAGCGAGGGTTCGGGCCTGGGGAAAAGGCTAGCGGCAGGGTAACGACGGTGGTGACCCAGCTAACGCTGGGCGGTAGGGATATTGACCACGTCGGCCGCATCCAACCACTGGGCAGATAGATCATCAGATGCTACCGTTCTCGACAATCCGAGAGGTAAGCCCTGGCCAACTACGACGCTGCACTTTAATTGCAATGTATCCCATGCATTTAACGAATCGGCCGCATCCGCGACCGGACCTGCGACCGCCAAAAAAAAAAAAAAAAAAAAAAAAAAAACTCGATAAAAAAAAACCCAACATATCCTCGATGGTGAGCATTTTGGGCCCTTGGAGGGGTTGAGGCGACAGGCGGACGGACGACCGATGTGTGCTCGCAGACTCTAGAGAAATTCGCCATTACCATGCGCGGCATAGGCGACAAGGAAGACACGTCGTTCAGCGCCGCCACGAGTGCACGTCGTTGTCGTCTCAGAATGCGATCCAATGGCGATGGCACTGCGGGTGATTTGCAGCCAAGATGACCAGCCAATCTGCAGGTCCCCCGTGCGGTCGTCACTAGTCGTCAGCCATAGGGACTGGAGGCCCGGCCTGCTCGTCCATTCTCGACTCCTCGAGTCAACGGCCAAGCGCATACCATGCGTAGTTACCTTAGTCCTGCTGGCGGCACCGCCCGAGTCAAGGCCCGCGCGCGGCGATGTCCCGAGAAACATGGGAACGTTCCGAGTTG